CCAAGGAACTTTCAAAAGCCAAAATAATAACTCAGATCTGAGAGATCCTGCAAAGCCTATAAATTAAGTAATCCTTTGGAAACCTGCAGCTAAAGCTGCCATAGGGTTGAGATTTGCCTGTACTTAATCCAAGTAAGGAGTTTCAAATTTAATTGTTCACAGGATGTTGAGGCTTTGGAATTTTTTTTTTAACTATTAAGTAAAGGAATAAACTGGAACCCTTGAGAATCTGTTGTATGTGAATCCTCTTGGGATAGGAAGGCACCAGAAAGGACTAATTCAGGCAATGGAAATGGAAATTAATATCAAAAAAATCAAGGATTACTGATTAATATAAGGAAAGGAAAAGAGATTGTACTCTGAGAAACACTGACTACTGGGAGGGCAAATTGCACAAATGCCATGAAACATTGCTTGGAGTTTTTTATTCCCACAAGGATTTTGAATTAATATGATAAGCATCACTTTTAGGGACTTTTTCCAATCAAAAATATGAAGAGGAGTAACCAGCATTAAAAAATACAAATAACCATTCACAACAAATGATTTTCAAACACAAACCATGAGCCTCTGACACACAATTTTAACAGGAGTTTGGCTGTTGGCAAGGCAAACCCACAGGCTAATGGCTAGTTTGATGCTTAAAGCTGCTTTTAAATCATAGAACCACAGAATGCTTTGGGTTGGAAGAGATCTTAAAATTCATTTCAGTCCTCTGCTAGGGCAGTGACAACTTCCATGAGACCAGGTTGCTCCAAGACCTTTCCCACCTGGCTAGGAGTATTTCCAGGGATGGATAACTCATGACTTCAGCCAATGAAATGGCTCTAAGCAGAAACAGCCAGAGCCCTGACGGCAATTTGTACAAGCAAGAAAATCTCCTGACCTGAAGAACTATGAAGCCATAATGATGCTTTAAATCACTCTCATATGGACAGATGTTCAAAAAGCATTGAGGGGTCATTATCAAGACTCTCAGATAAACACAGACCTCTGCTAGATATTGGGAGGGTGACAGATGGAAAACGTGAATGTTCATTCAAAATAGGACACAAAGATCCATAGTTTACCCAGTTGGTTTGTGATAACAAAGGAAGGAAACTGAGAATGTCACTGGTGGCAAAGTAGAGCCTGAATGGAATAGTCAGAAAGAGAAACAAAGAGGTGATAAGTCTCTGGGGTGGAAAAATACTGGAAACAAATATCAATGAAAATATCAGGGAGGGGAAAGATAAAGTGAACAGAGTGATGAGATTGAATTCATGAACATGTTTGACCTCCCTTATGTGTGGTCTTTGTTAGAGCTTGCTGTAGGGTTTCAGCACTCAGCTGAAGAATGAGCACACTGGCAATACTGTATTTCAGCTGGATGTTGAGGCTTGCTCCCAAGCAAGGTTCAGCTGCTGTCGGTCCTGTTAATTTCTCTAAATTGGTTCCAATTAGATTTTAGAAATTACCTGAAATAGAATTGAAAAATTCTCATTGAGCAATCTGTTCTGGAGAAATGTGTCCTTGTCAGTGGGGGTTGGAATACGTTGACCTTTAAGATCCCACCCAACCTAAGCTATTCTGTGAGTCTATGATTCTATCAAAGACAAAACCAGAAATTTATGACCCAAATTTTCATGGTTGAAGTGAGAGCTGACTGGGTCCTTTGTAGACTGCAGAGTCATGTTTGCTTTGCTCAAAGAAAGCACATGTGGAAAGGTGTGTGAGCAGCTGAGAGAACACGGGGTACCTGTGAACCATGGACCTCTTTAGCTAATGTTCTCATTCCTTGCATCCTGGGGAAAAACATCTATGACAGAGGGGTGAAAAATTAGTTCCTGATACAGTTCTGAATCCCGAGAGCTGCTCTGAATACGAACACTTTCAATCAGGAGCAATTCAAATGAATATAGTTTTCTTCATAGTAAAACAGTTTTTATTTCACACAGTGTAGTGTATTATGGAATATAGTCTCATTTGGAATAAACCCACAAATTTATACCAATTTGGCTAATTTTATTTTACTTGGGTTAAGTTTTAGATGAGGCATCAGTTCCATAACGAGTGATCTGGGCTGAGCATTCAAAAAGCCTTGAAGAGAAAATGCCTTGGAGCCAGCAGTTTCCTGTCTGCTTTTGAAATGAACACTCTAATGTAGGGGATTTCTGTGTTTTGATCATCTCTTGCCTCTGCCAGCAAATTACTTGGAACCGCTGAAGCTTTGCTGCACAGCAGAGCTGCCCTTCACAGCAGGGTGCACCTCAGAACCCACCCAGGGAATGGAGCTCCAGCGAATGGCAGTGGGAAATGTTTGACTCTACAGAACTGTGGGTTTAGTTTTTTCCTCTTTTTTTTTTATTTTTTTTCCCATAGCTCTGGTTTATTTTGTTGCTACTTTCCAGTAAACTTAGTGCCCTTCACAGAAAGAATTTTTTATTTTCCCTCCTAAGAGGAAGGAGATGCCATTGCTGACACGCTGCATTTGTGCACATTTTTAACTCTGTCCTTCAGAGAATCCTCTTCATCACTGAACAGCAAGAGCAGGAGAGGTGGGACACAACCCATCCTTCAGCTCTCTGCAAGAGGAATTTTGCTGTTTGGCTGGGTGGGTTTTCTAACACAAGCAAGAAACCTCAGACCAACCTACTCTTAGGCTTCTGTAAACTGGGTGATATCATGCAGGAATAAGGAGGTATGATTCATCACCCAGACAAAAGTCAGCCTGTGTAGCCTCTGTTGGTGAAGGGAGGCATTTGGGAGGAACAAAGAGTAGGGGAAAGCTCTGCTGGTATTGGCTGCAGTTAGACCTCTCCTCTCTCGTGTTTCAGGTTCCTGACACAGCATGTAGACTGTACTCATGCTTATGTATCCCAAAGCTGCAGGACAGCTCAGGAGCCCATTTAAAAGTCACAGCTGTGACCCCTGTGCCAGAGCAAAGCCCAGAAAATGGGCACAACAATGAGCCAATCACACAAACCTTCCCATGTCACGAGCAAAGAGCATTCACAGCAAATGGCACATAAATCAAACTTGCAGAAACCAGGCAGCAAAAAGGTGCTCAATGAAACTGGACTTTTTAAACAATGAATCCTTCGTTAGGTTCTTCTATCAAGTGGGATATTCTGGTCCAGACCTTTCCAGGAAGAAAAGGAAATTTTACAGATATTTGGAGATTTTTTTTTTTTTCCCAGCCTCTGAAGGACATGCTCTGCAGCTCTACTGATCACCCACCCCACCTCCAACCCACCACTGTATGCCTGCAAACCATCCCATTAAACACTCACTGGCAGCATAGACATCTCCACGGTGCTCCAACAGCTGTGCCACCAAGAAACTGAGATCCTCTGCAGTGCCAGGTGCTGCTCCAGAGACCCCTGCAAAGACACAGTAATGTTGGGGTACAATGGCCGTAAAGATACTCTGAGGGCTGGAGCACCTCTGCTGTGGGGACAGACTGAGGCACCTGGGAGCATTCAGCCTGGAGAAGAGAAGGCTCTGGGGACAACTGAGAGCCTCTTCCAGTGCCTAAAGGGGCTCCAAGAGAGCTGGAGAGGGACTTGGAGCATGGGCCTGGAGAGACAGAACAAGGGAGAATGGCTTCAAACTGATAAAGGGCAGGGGTAGATTGGATATTAGGAAGAAATTCCTCCCTGTGAGGGTGCTGAGGCCCTGGCCCAAAGCAGCTGTGGCTGCCCCATCCCTGGAAGTGTTCAAGGCCAGGTTGGATGGAGCTTGGAGCAACCTGGGATAGGTGGAAGGTGCCCTTGCCCACAGTGCAGGGTTGGACTGAGATGCCATTTCAGGTCCATCCCAAACGAAAACACTCTGTGATTCTGTGATTATTTTCTTAGAAGTTTATCTTTTGCCCAAGTGACGACCATGAAAGATTCACAAACTGCTTTAAACCAAATCTGATTATTTCCTTGAACCTTTTTCTCATTCGACAGACTTATTGTAATGAATAAAACAGTCACAACCAAACGTTTACTGACCTATTGCATCATTTTTCTTCCACTGCAGAGGACGAAACTGCAGTGAGGGGAGCTTTGAGCACACCGAACTTATGCTTTACTACTAGTAAAGTACTGCAGCTTCACCACTGCGAGTAGTCACTCCGAGCCCCACTTATAAAAGGATTCGGGAGGAAATCAGTGCCGAAGCTCCCCCACCGACAACCGAGCCGGGTCCATACTGCCCCCCGGCCCGCCCTGAGGGCGGGGTGTGCCGGGAGGCGGG